CTGCTCCCCATCCCTGAGCCTCGTGGAGTCCCCACCATCGGTCTCCAGCGATGGGTTTATACCATGAAACGTGGGTGCCTTCCTTCAGCCCACCAACCCCCTAAACTCGGCTTCCTCTTTGTCCCCGGGCCACGCTTTCCCTATGAAATGCTGGGGGTGCGCTACCCCTTCACCCTGCCTCCTGCTTGTTAAGAAGCAGAAGGGACGCTCCCCCTTGACAGATCTGCCCAGCTGTCATCTTCCTCAGGGGAGTGTCACGTTGTCACAAAGGACACGCGCAGGATGGGGTGAGGGTGGGGGCTGAGGGAGGACCAGATGGTTGGACCCAAATGCTTGCTCCTATTCTCCCTGGGCCACCTACTGTCCACGGGACCTTGGCCGAGTCACTCACCCTGCTCTGGCTGGGGCTTGCTCATGAGCAAACTGGTGAGGAGATAACGGGGGAAGAGGATGAGCTGGCCCCTCAGATCTCCCAGCAGGATCCCCAGCTCACATCCATGAGGTGCTCTGAGAAGCCAGGGCCAGCCAGGATGGGGGTCACTGCCAAGGACAAACAGGGGTACTCTGTGCCCAGCCCAGCGCCAGGTACAAAGCAAGCACCCAGGAACCAATCAGAGAGCTGGAACTTCCACTTTCTGCCTCGTCATGAGTAATGAAACAGAAAAGAAAAAGAAGAAACAACCTGTAACCCTGCATATTTAGAGCTCAAGCTGTATGTACTCAATTATCTAGGAAGACAATGCTTCTAATAATAGCCAAGCCTGAGATTTGTAGCTCAGTTCATCTATGACTGTTCAGAAGGAAATGGGAAACTCCATGTCTCGAGACAGCTGCGACGTCTAAGGCTACACACAGGATGGCACATAAAAAAAGCCTGTTCCCGAGCAGAGCGGCACGCAGCCCAAAACAGGCTGAGGAGACCAGGAGTCGCCACTGACGCAGCTGTACGCCTCCCGCTCCCCAACACGGAGCGAGACTAGGCAATACACATCCAGGTTCAGGGAGGCCCTTGGTGGTGAACACGCCCAGCTGCTAACCAAGAGGTTGGAGGTTCAAGTCCACCCAGAAGCACCTTAAAAGAAAGGCCTGGTGATCTACTTCTGAAAAATAAGCCACTGAAAACTCCATGGAGCACAGTTCTATTCCAACACTCCTGAGACAGAAACATCAACACGTTTTTATTTCAGCATGTCTTAAAAAACAAAGAAAAACTTACTCATTTTCCAGGCCACAATGCAAACCCTATCTCTCCTTGTCTTCCTACCAACCTTCAGTTCTGCCGACCCTTTTCTGCCCAGGAAGAAAAGTTCAGAAACAGAAACACCCCCTCTCTAACAGTGGCCACCAACCCCCTCCACTGGTGTCTCCAGTTCCCAGACCACACAAGGCCTCTGACCTAAGGAGGGAGCAGGCAGCGAGGGGTGGGGTGGGCGGCCTCTGGCTCTCAGATGAAGGTTCTAGCAGCAAGGCCACCAAGGCCTGCAGTGGTCATGGGCTGGAATGAAAAGACTGGAGGAGAAAAGACCACTACATTTGGACTTCACAGGAAGAGGGACTTGGTTTCCTCTAAAAAAGTCCCACACACATTTAGTTTTTATAATCTTTTACAAAAGAGAGGCTCAAGTAGGTACTAAGAATCCCTGCATCTCCAGGCTTTTTGCTAAATAACGTCTGGAAGCCCACGGGACACTCCACATACAGGGTGAACGGAAATGCCCTTTCGTATTGAATTTCTGCCTTTTGGTCTCTTTCCCCACCAGTCTGCAATTCTCGCTCTAGCCTGGAGGAGAACATCACTCTAGGGAAGAAGCAGGCTTTCCTGCCCTGCCCCTGATCACAAGGCCATAAACATGGCCAGGAGGAGGTGGCAGGAGCTGGACCTGGGACAAGACAGGCCCTGCCTGTGGTTCTTAGGTGCCGTCAAGTCGATTCAGACTCACAGTGACCCACGTGACAGAGTAGAACTGTTCCACAGTTTCCTATGCTGTAATCTTTAAGGAAACGGGCCCTGGTGGTGCAATGGCTAAGTGCCTGGCTGCTAATTGAAAGGTTAGAAGTTCGAACACACCAGCTGCTCCACAGGAGAAAGACCTGGAGATCTGTTCCACAAAAATGACAGTCTAGGAAACCCTATGGGGCAGTTCTACTCTGTCCTACAGAGTTGCTATGAGACAGAACTGACAACACACAACAACAACAACAACAACAACAACAACAACAACAATCTTTAGGGAAGCAGACTGCCAGGTCTTTCTCCCGCAGGGCCATTCGGTAGGTTTGAATTGCCAACCTTTCGGTCAGTAGCCGAGTGCTGAACCGTTGGGTCACCAGGGCTCTTTAGCACCTGCCTAGCCTTCCACAGTCATAGCTTCACCCCTAGGGGCTGCAAGGCCCGAGCGTAGATTCACAGGGAAGAGCCCGAGTTCGATCCCAAGAGTAGTCCGCACCTAACAAGGAAGCCCCGTTCTTGGGCTAGGCCAGAGGAGCCCGCAAGCATCTTTTCCAGCACATACGTGGGGGAAGGATGCCCCTGTGAACAGGCAGGATGTCCATGGCTTTCTACATGGTGCTCTCCACAGCCTGTGGGGCAGCCGTGCAGGACCGTCTCCACCTCACTCTCCGGCGGGGGCCTGGAGGCACGGCTGGCCCAGGGGCCGCAGAGCCAGTGGGCTGCCACTCAGGATCTGGTCTAGGTCCATGGCCCTCCCAAAGCCACCCTCGGTCCTCAGAGAGGACTCTCAGGTGATGGGCTCTCCAGGACGTCTCCTGGAGAAGCTCTGGTGTCCCCCTGGAGACAAGATGCCAGCTGAGCAAGCGTTTCTACCAGAAACCCCTGGGCCAGAGCCGAGGGCTGTGTACTTCGGTTAGAAGAGAAAAAGCAGAGAAAGGATGTTCTAGAAGTCCTGGAATGAGTACTCTGGAGGACTGCTGCGGTGGTGATAGGCACGGCCTGGACTGGAATCCCGGCCCCACCTCCCAGAACGAGCACTCAGGAAGACAGCAGTGGTGAGGGGCATGGGCAGAGTCAGACAGCCTGGACTAGATTCCTGGCTCTACCACCTACATGCTGTTTAGCGGCCACCCCATGCCCAGTCTAACCCTCATCTGTAACGTAGACACACCCCTTCCTGGGGCAGGTAGAAGGCCCCTCTAGGCCAGACCCTCCCCCAAAAACAGCACAGACTAAGGCCAGAGGAAACCAAACGAGAGTGTGTGCAGTCGCAGGGGGAGCAGCTTTACCTCAAACAAGCAAGGACAGCTTCTTTTTGCCACAGAAACCTCTTATTCCTGTCCTTCCACTCCTGGGTTCAGATCAGGAGATGTAGCTCTATGACTCAGCAACACTCACCCTGTGTTCCACAGTACTGCTATCCCCCCTTAAGAAGCACTGACCTTGAACCACAGCTTTCATTCAACAAAGCCCCCAAAATAGCCAGGTCTCCACTACCTACCCATTAGGCGGCAGCCACAGGAGATAGTAGCTGAGGACCGCAGGCTCCTTGGGAGGGGGCCTCCAAGCTGCACACTCCCTTGGCACATGAGCCTGCTTTGTGCTGCCCACACAGCCCGCCAGGCCTGCTCAGTAGCTCCGCGGACACAAGGCATCTTTGGAGGGCCTTGCTGTTTGCTCTGAGCCAAGGCCTGTCTTTGGAAGGTCTGACACTGCACAGTCCTGCCCTCCGAGACGTGCTGAGGGAGGCCGCCTGCTATTCCTGCCTCATGGCATGGAATCATTAAAATGGGCGGCCAGCCTGACTGAGCTCTCTCAAGACCCCATCTTGCTCAATCCCCTATGAGGCATAGCCACTAAAAACAAAACCGCTGACGTCCCCGAGGACCAGTCCCAAGATCTCAGCCCAATCCCCACACTCTCCACCACCACCCAGGACACAAGCAGCCCAATAACTGTCACTTCCTGGTTAAGTGTGGTCACTTTGATCCTCTTCTCATCTGTCACCAGCACTGGTGCCAGCTGCCTTTCCCATGGCGATTTCATAAGGACTGGAATCCCGGCCCCACCTCCCAGTTCTCTTCACTTCATGAGTCACTGCGCAAGCTAGGACAAATAAAGAACCACAGGCTGCACCGAGATCTGGCTGCGGGCAGCTGGCTCCCATCCAGTGACTCCCTGTCCTGCATTCCAGCTGCAGACGACGTGCGCTTCAAACCCCTGCCATGGAGAGGAGAAACCTCACCAGGTCTGGGCCTGCTGGACAGCTCAGAACGGTTCATGCTGTAGAAATGAACATCCTCAGCCACCAAGCTCCCCAGACACCCATCTCGCAGAAGAGGAAAGTGAGGCTCAGCAAGGTGCAGTCGCTAATCACAGAGCAGGTGCAGAGCTGGGAGTCCAAAGCCCAGTCGTTTATACCCCCAGATCCGAGATGCTCCACTAGGGCAGTTTCAACACGCATCTCCTGCAGGTGAACCATCTCTTACATATCCCTATGTATGCGCTCTCCACCCTGATCATCTCTCCCTCCGTAGGAGGCCCCTGGGAGACAAATCTGGATGTCCCCAAAGGCTCATTTCCTCCCTCACTTCAGCAGCTTAGCAGAGACCAGCCCAGCTGGTCCGAAGTTAGCACAACCAGAGAACAAGCTGGCTGCAGCCCCTGGAACCCCAGGCTCGCCTTTCTACAAGGCCACCTCCAGACCAGGGAGCGGGCCTGGGTACCTGGTCTCACCAATACTCCCCAGCCCCACCCTAGAAATAGATAAATCATTCCGGGGTGCCCTCCCTGACAGAACCTCCGCCATGGTGAGGGAGCGTCCACACCCAGAGGAAGCCATGGAATCAGGTGGGCTCAGGGGACTGGTGCTCTCTCTCCCTGCCCTGCTTGACGTATCCCCAGTAAGCCCTACTCTGTGTCTACACATCTTGGGATTAATGGTGAATGCCGGTGTTTGCTACCAGCATCTAAGCTAGTCTAGACCAGCCACCTTCACATAAAAACAACAAAGTCCACCCAAAACCACCTTAAGGAGACATCGACTCACCCCAATAGTGAACTTGAACTTGAATGGCGGCCCCTCAAAGAACGCAGCGCAATTGTCGTCACTGCCCGTGGCCAGCCGATATGGCCTGGTCTGTTTGATGTCCACACTGTTGATGACTTTGTTGTGTCCTGTGATCTCACCCACAGAAGAGCCACTGTCCCACAGGAAGACAGCGCCAAACCTTCACCAACAAGAGGAGTCAAAGGGGAGAAAGTCAAGGCTGTGGATGGCAGATGAGAAACGCGAGAGCCGATGAACCAGGGCACAGAATGGGGAGTGGGTATCAGTGGTGCAGCCCCGGCCCATGTCCAGTGCTTGAAACAGAACATGCTGCAAGACTAAACGTTGAAAACACTGGGATCTGGGCTTTACGTGGTATTTATCATGAAGATCTGAGACAAGGAGCAATCCCAGTGCCTCTGGGTCACGATGGGACTTGTATCTGGCCCAGCGCCAGTCAAAGCGCCACACCCATGGAGGTGCCTTAGGAAGCACCTGCTAGGGAGCATCTTTACAGCTTTATCACTTTTGTAACACGTTTTGGGGAGACCAAGTTTTAGGGGGACAAGAAAAGAGATAATGCCTTGCTCTCAGCTGGCATTCAATGAAAATGCGTCAGTTCAGTTACTACCTGCTACCAAATGAAAAATGAATCATGAAAACCAACAGAGGGATTTGAAAAACCATGGAAGAATTAATGCAAAACAGAAACCAAATTTAAGAGTCTCTGGGTTAAGGGGAGAGGGCAGTGGTGGTTCAGTGGCAGAATTCTCGTCTTCCATGCGGGAGACCAGGCTTCCAGTCCCAGCCAGTGCACCTCATGTGCAGCCACCACCCGTCAGTGGAGGCTTGCGTGTTGCTATGGTGCTGAAGAGGTTTCAGCAGAGGTTCTAGACTAAGACTAGGAAGGCTTGGTGATCTACTTCTGAAAAATCAGCCAGTGAAACTCCTATGGATGACAATGGTCTGATTCCATTGCTCATGGGGTTGCCGTGAGTCAGGGGCTGACTCAACAGCAGCTAACAATAACAACTGGTAAAGGAAATAAAGACATGCTTGTCTGCTAAGTTCAAGGGCATGCAGGCAGTGGTGGTATGGTGGCAAGAACAGACTGGACTTGGTTCCAGTAGTGACCCTGCAAGTCACTGGACATGTGCGGGCAGCAGCCTCTGAATGCCACTTACCAATGTCCACTCACCCTTCCTAGTAAGGGAACCTTAGGGGACATGTCCAGCCTGGGGAAAACGGCCAGCCTCCCTCACAGCTAGGTGTGGCTGTATGGGAGTTATTGGCAGGGACTTCCAAAAATGGTTTTTAAGAGGTGTGTCTCTTCTGCCTAGTCCCTGTCCTCCCTCCTGCTGTCTGGACATGGACGTGATGCCTGGAGTTCTAGAAGGGGAAGAGCCAATGATGTCAGAGGACAAAGAGACAGTGCCAGGCCCTGGTGGCTAGCCCTGAGGTGTTTACCCAGTGTTGTGTTATGTGGAGTTGCCGTTACGTGCAGCTGAGTAGAACTGCTCTGCAGGGTTTTCTTGGCTGTTATCTTTACAGAGCAGATCACCAGGACTTCCTTCCAGGAAGTAGCTGAGTGGGCTCAAACTGCCCACCTTCAGGTTAGCAGCCAATCACAAACCACTTGCATCACCCAAGTTCCTTGGCTGAAGCCAACTCTGAAGGGTCCCCCGAGCTAGTCCCACATGGTAAGGAGGCTGGTGTGGCTGGCACCTATCAGGAGCTCAGTGCACACCAGAGACATCCCACCCACTGTGCTCAGAGCAGCTTTGAGAAGAGATGCAGGACTGAGGGCAGAGCAGCCGAGCAACTCCACTTCCTGCCTGAAGGCATGCTGAAAGAGGCAGTGTGTGCACCCCCACACCAAGGGCACCCCGGGAAGAGAGCACAGCCAAGGCGACACAGCCAGGGATGGGTGGAGGCGAGAGACTCACTTCTCCCTGCCTTCACCAACCACAGCAATCCTCTTGCTGTCTTCAGTCCATGCGATGTCCTTGATCTTCCCAGCGAAAGATTGGTACTCATACTTCAGGAGGTGCTCCTTTTGCGTGGTGTCCCAGATCCTCAGCTTCCCAGACACATCTGTGGACACAACGGGGGCAGGGACACGCATCAGTGTCCAGCAGGACCACAGGGTCACAACACAGCCATGCAGCCAGGCCCTGGAGGTGTGGGCCTCATGGAGTGTGGCCAGGCTGTAGCTGGGTGGAGAGAACATGTGTTAGGTAAAGCAAAGCCTGCGGCTGCTGTGAAAACTGTGCTTGGGGTCTTGGCATGTCAACAGAAACCATGTGGAGAAGAGATGCTGCTGAGGAGGCATAAAGCACAGGACAGTCCTTCGGTCTAAGCACGCGATGGTAAAACCCCAGTGCAGCACCAAGCAGCTCAGTTTTATTCAGTATTTCTTTCCTTCTATGGGGATCTAAGGAATACCTGGGTGGTGCCAATGGTTAAGTGCCTGACTACTAACCACAAGCCTGGCAGTTCAAACCCATTCAGAGGTGCCTAGGAAGGCCTGGCGATCTGCTTCCAAAAGGTCACAGCTTTGAAAACCCAATGGAGCAGTTCTACTCTACATGGGGTTGCCATGAGTCAGAATTTACTCAATGGCAACTGGTTTGGTCTTTGATTTATGGGGATCTAAGGGTATGTGGGCCTTGGGCAATGCCCCTTGCCACCACTCTGGACCTAATGTTCTCATCTGTAAAACAGTGGCAGTGCTGGCCATGCCCGCCTCTCCTGTGCAGCTGCTCTGAGAACCAAGAGGAATGGGGCCTGTAGACATGCATGGGTGGCACTGGGACTTGGCACGTGGCCAGGACCTCAGGGTCTGCAGACCCAGTGCCCTCGCGCCTATCCGCCAGCTCACTTTCAGGCATATCAGCAGCCCCCTCATTCTGGCTAGAACGATCCCATAACCCACACTAACTGAGGCCTACGCAGGAGTCTCCAGTGAGACAGGCAAGATGGGTGTTGGAAGGAGGGGGCACTACTGCAGCAGATCTGGATTAGAAGTCACACCCCCTCCCTTCCCTGCCATGATCCCGTCACCAAGCACAACACTGGCACACCCCTGCCCAAATTAGCACGTCGGCAGGAAAAACGGGAGCACTGCACACTTAACTCTTGAGGCTTACAAATGCAGCCCAGTCAGATCTGAGGGAAGTCTTTCAGGCACTCGCTCTCACGCGCGCACACACACACACACACACACACACTCTCACACTTCCATTCTCACATACTCTTACTCTCAAACATAAGCTCAGAAACACACACACCTTCAAAATCTCACTTGCAAACACACACCCTCTTACACATGCTCTTAAACACACTCTCTTAAACACTCACATAAGCTCACTCTCAAAAACACACACACCTTCTAACTCACACACTCAAACATGCTCACACTTACTCTCACACACACCCTTCAAACTCACACACTCTCAAACACACGCTCACAGACACACTCACCTTCAAACTCACAACACACACACACACACAATGATGTGGTCTGCTGTACTCAGGCCAGTCCAGGAGGCCACAAGGAGTCATGGGACCTGAACCACGTGATGACCCCTCCTCCACCCCTGCCAGGCACACCAGGTACCAGGTAACCCATGAGCAAGCACAGTACTCCCTGCCTCCCTCCTTCCCCTCCTCACCCAAATGCTACACACCATACTATTTTCAGCCCAGGGCCATAATATTCACAGCAACCTTTCACTAGAGCCTGTAACAATCAATTCACTCTACTCAAAGGAACAGTGCTCTAAACGGTTAAATGTGATCTCCATATCCGCATGAACACAAGGACTGGCAGGCAGCCCCAATCTCCCCCGGCTCATCCACCAAGTCAGGGCCCTCTAAAGAGGGGAACGTCGGGCTGATAATTTATTTATGTGGCCTGTCCTTTGCAAGAGTCTCTGTGACGGCCTTCACTGATTCTGCATTAGCATCTCAAGGCCATCAACTTCCATCTTGCTGAACGCCCCTCTGGGGACTGGGGAGAGGGCAGGCCAGGCTCAGCCCTGGTTACTCAACAGCGGGCGGGATGGCGGCTCAGGGCTGGCGGGGCAGGGACATCACACCAAGCGGGGATGGAGGCCCTCGACAACAACATTCTTCTCCCAAAACACATTTATCAGAGCACCCGGCTCTGTGTTAAACAATTTAAAAAGGCACCTGGGCCAAATCTTGGGGCTTTAATTGAAGAGGCATTTTACTGGCAAGCTGAGCAAAAAAAACTCACAGGGCTAAAATAATTGTGAGATATAATTAGAGCAAGTTTTACAGATGCAGTTGGAGTAGGTCTAAACACAAAAACCATGAAGTACCTACTATGTGCCAGACTTGGCCACTCCTTCACCTATGACAGCGCCGTCCAGCCCATCGTTAACTGCTGCCTGCTGCCCTTGCTTGGTTATTAGCAGAGCCCCCTGCTCTCTGAAGCGCGTCCTGGTTTGGGTGACAGATAACATGGCCAGCCCGACTTTAAGTACCTACAAGTGCCATGAGCTGTACGATGCATCTCTTCCCCTACACGGTAGGTACTAGCAGCCCCAGTTCACAGAGAGAAAATTAAGGCCCAGCAAGATACGTTATTCCATTAAGGCCATGCAGCAAGTAAGGGGTGAGCCCAGGTTGTTTTCAGTCTCCCAGACACACACGCACACGAGCAAACACACACACGCCAGGTAACAAGTCCCCTCACCACCATACAGGGGAACTAAGGGTGTGGGGGCCTTGGGCAACGCCCTTTGCCATACAGAGTGAGTGCAGTACAGACAAAATGGCCACAGCTTCCACCTCAGACCAATGTGTGTGAATCCTGGCTCTCCCCGTACTGGCTGGTTAGGCCTTTCGGCAATTACTATCTGTCGCTCTCCCTAGATGCTAGAGAGGTCGTGTCAGCCTCATTGACTGGCTCTCCCTGGTGGTGCTGGAGACAGCGTGGGCACAAGCAAGGCAGCCAATAAGTATCTGCTGAGTGAAGAATGGATGAGTAGATGGATGGATGGACGGATGGATGGGAGATGCAGGTGAAGTCCCTCTAACTTCTGTGCCTCCCTTTCTCATCCGTAAAAGGTAAGACACCATCTACCCGAAGGGGGCTGGGGAATGAAGTGGCTAGGCAGCCAACACATGTAAAGCTCTTTACCCCTCCCTCCTCTTGCGCAGCCTCCTACGGCACTGCACAAAAAGCCCTGGCAGGGGAGAGCAAAGGTCTATTCCACAAAAAAGACGTGAGCTTTGAGGCCGGCATTGTGTTAGGTACCGGGAAAGGAGCAGTGAACAAAGCTGATACAAAACAAAGCTACAATTCACACACACACAGACACACACACAGACACACACACATGCGCGCGCATGGGCGCGCGCCCGGCATAGACTCAATACATTTCACTATATATAGCCGCCCACAAAGGCCTCTGGGCAACTCAGCAAAACAAGAGCATTTCTGCTGACCTCACAGCAGAACAAGCTGGAATACTGCAAACTAGAAAGTATGCAGTGACTCCTCGGAAGGCTGGTTCTGCAATGGGGCTTTCTGGTGACTTCTCCCTTTCCCAACTTGTCAGCCCCGACTACAACTAATTACATCGGTTCCCTCGCCTCTAGCTAACCTGCTAACCTCCACTCTCCTCCACCCATCACCCTCCAAGCTGGAGCCCCGCCTGGACTGGGCCTTGGGCTCTGCCCCGACCACACCACCATGCGCCACGCGCTCAGGCAGGTACCTCCGGAGGCGATGTAGAATCCGCTGGGCGCGTACTTGGCCACCACCACCTGATGGGCGTGCTCCGTGTAGATGTCAGCAATGGCTGGGTTCTGCAGGGACAAGACCCCAGAATAAACTAAGTAACCTAGAAATAGCCACACTGCTTTCATCTCTCCAAATAAGCAGATTGGAAAAAAAAAAAAGACATATACACACATACACATATACTTAAGTCAAAACCGTCATAAGAAAATCCTAGAAGTATGCCTACCTGCCTACACGCATATCTGGAGGTGACAGAATTTCAGGTCATCTTAACTTTTTTCTTTAGTCTATGATTACAGAATTCAAGGTAATTTTCTGTTCTGCTTTTTGGTACTTTTCATAGTACAGAACAAATGTATATTTGTGAAACATACAAAAGCAAAAGCCTCATTAAAGAAGCTACGATCCTAATTGCCTCCTATTTGTGGGAACTTGGCAGTTGAAGCTGCATTCAACAGTCAGCTGTTTTCCAACTCTTCCAAAGCTGACTCTCCTCTGTTCAAAACCAGCTACATCCTAGGCTGCCCATCAACGTATCAGACAGCATGGCAGTGTAGATGGGAGCCTGTCTTTGTCAAAACACTTGGCTTGGGAAGAAACGTCCCACTCCCTTTCATTAGCACACATCAGAGATTGGCTGGACCTTGTGGCAAGACTGAGGCCAACGTTTGCTGAGTCATCACAACCCAACAATAAAATTTTAACATACAATTTACTAAAAGTAGATCACTATCCCCCTCCTCCCCCCATACACACACCAAAAGGCATCAGCAAAACCGAGACCCAAATGCAGAGAGAGTTCTTCAACTTGGCCCCACGGTCCAGCCTTCTCTCAGGAGAGAATACAGTCGCAGCCATCTAATCCCCGGTAAC